TTATGTTCTTATGTTCTAAGTCAAGTTCTCACCTAGACGAATTGCATCATACGTTGCATTCGTTTATGTCTTGTGTCTTCGCCGTTGATCATGGAGAAACGTTTCTTTGTTGGAAAATTAATGTAGGTTTTAGTTTGGGAGGAACACGTTAGACAGATTGTTTTATAAAGTGAGATCTGAGATAAGCTATACAATAGAACCTACAATAGTTGTGGTAGTCGAGAGGATGTAGCACTCACCTTCTGTTCGAATGGTTGCTTTGCAGATCCCAGAACTCCCCGGGGGGCCATATTCACTATCAGTAACTTTATAAGTGATGCTAACTGGTAACAGGATTATGGAAGCGCACAGCTTATATAATTATTATTTTTTCTAGCGTTTCATGCAGCTTCTGAATACAGTAAAGTTGTAAGTTTCACTCTACTGAACATTACTGTATTATAACGATTTGGGAGGTCATTAATACAGAAACAGCTTTTGAAATGTAATTCACACTTTTTACGCTGTTTTAAGCTTCAGTGCTCATTGGTATAGTTACTAATTCATAGAAACTGTTAAACAATTGTAGCAATTGTCCGTGCACTCTGTATCCAGCGTTAAGATAATTATGTATTTACAATAATTGCCAACAACAGAGTAAAAATTATTAAATTGTTTCTATAGCACACAGTCTAAAGAAAACAACCATCACCACCAATATACCACAATCACCATCACCATCATCATCACCACCAATATCACATACTGTATATCACCATCACCATCTATAACACCATCACTACCCACACCGCCATCGCCATCGCCATACATCACCACCATTGCCTTGTACACTACTATCACCATTACACCCACATCCCTCGTTACTACGACACCCCCCACTACTACCACCGCATCATCACTCTATTGTAAATATTGCACAATATAATATTATGCATTATTTCATTGCCAATACTTTCCAGGAAATTACATTTAATCAGTAACAACTCTCTATATTAATACCGGCTGATGTATTATCAGGGACATAAAGGACTAAGCTTTGGAAAATTGCAGCCCATCATCAAAGATAAATATGGACAAAAGGGTCATGGAATACAGAGCCACTTTGTAGAGCTTTATTTTAACAATCACTATTCACTTACAAAGTTTAGTATACGGACATGTCCCACACGGAATTCAATATTGCGCTATGTTAAAGCTCGCAGGGCAACGGGCAGTGTACTACTGCATATGCAAAAAGGTCAGCGTAAAGACGGTCAGTAAAAACTAAAGAAACAATTTAAATAGTGAGCAAAGTAGTCCTACAGAGTCCAACTTAATTTCACCAACAGAACAGTGTGAGAAAACCATTTTTTTTTTCAAATTAACAAGTCACCTCAGTGACAACACTACCATTACCACCACAATACCACCATCATCATCATCACCACCACCACCACAATGGCACTATCATCACCATAACACCACGATAAACACCTTAACACCACTATTATCACCACAACACCGTTATTACTGCCATAACTTCACCATCACCACCACAACACCAACTGTAAGGGCTGTAACGAGCAGGATGGTTGTCCGCCGGTCGTTTGCTGTTCGCAGCCGCATCAGGGGGAGGGGGGATAGAAACTATCCAGCCGTCACCACAGCTGTACTCGAACCCAGCTGTTTGATCCAACTCTGGTTGTGTACTCATCTGAGGCTCCTGGGGCTCATGGGCTGATTCCCAAGTCCTTCACTATTCAGCTGTCAATCTCGGGACTCTTACTCCAACCACTACCGCGGCTGCCACGTCATCGCTACTTCCTCCACGCCCTATCCACCGTCCTTGTCCTGGTGTCTCTCCTGTGTGGCAAAACATCGCCCACCAACGGCGGCGCCAAGTGAGGAAGCTGCCCTGGACCTTCCCCCTGAGAGAGGACCACAGCGTTAACAGAACATTCCACCAAGCTGCAGCCGTAGGAAATATCTGTACTTTGTTTGACTCCCGTAATTGTTTGACTCCCGTAAATGTTTATGTAATATTTGTGTGAGTGGTGTCAATTACTGCGATTATTTTCGTAGTAAAGAGATGTCAATCTCTAACTGTTGTTTGTTACCCCTTGGAAACCCATGGTTCTTAACTTTCTTTTTATAAGATCCTGATTAGGCTGGCAAGGGATTTATATCCCAAAGGCCAGACCACCACCACAACTCCGTCATTACCACCACAACTCCACCATTACACCACAACACAACTCTTACTCCATAACACCATCATTATAACCACAACACGACCATCACCACCTTAACACCACAATTAACAACACAACATCACCACCACAACACCATCATTGCCTCCACAGCATCACTACTACAACACCCACGTCATCATATATTTTGTACCGCTAAAGAGAATCCTATTTACCCAGTAAATCTATTAATGGCTTTAATATATCTTAAAACTTGGGAAAAAATTTTAGTATAATTAATTACAGTGTTAACATTATACATATTGTACATAAGGTTAAAGTGGGGTGCGGTGTTTGAGTGGATACAACACTTTCCTCCTGTAATAAGAGTCTCTGGTTCTTTCCCGGGATACTCCCAGTCAATCACAGCTGTAAGTGGGTATATTAACTTTACAAGATAAAGTGTATACCGGCCACGCTGCAACCTTGTACCAATATAATAGTGTGATGTATCCACATTGTCCCAAGTGGGCCGTTATGCACGTGGGACCCACTTACTTTAAACAATATAACATATGATACCCTCAAACTGGACACCTGTGTTTAAGTACTAGAGAACACAACTATATATCCAAAATAATTGTTTTCAAATGATTTGTGATATTTGTCAGAGAGAGAAGCACTGGACTCGGTATGTTTGGTGTTTGATTCTACCAATTAATGTTATACAAAGGAGGTGGAAATGATGATAATCATTCTCGTTTCTCTTGTCATAATAATAAACCATTTTATTAATTTTTTTGTCATCTGTTTTTTTTTCTGCCGCCCGTTCTTCCGTTTATATCTAAACATCAACGATATTTTAACTAATAAGTAGTTTTGACGCATATTTTTCAAAGAGCATTTTCCTTTATGGAATTTCCATAAATAGTGAATGTATGGCACCAGGAGGATAATTGTACACGTGCCGCTGTGTAATACACCTGCTTGTTATGCATAACATTTACAGTGGTATTCACAAGGCAAATATAGCCAGCGTTATGGCGTTGCAAAGCTGCGACAGGTAATTTGTGTGTGATTGGCTCTTATGACAATGAGGACCGTGCCATCGTTACAGACGAATAAGTCAACAACGCAGCTTTAGGGATAAAAGTATATCTGATTCTGGCTGTATCGTAAGTTATTATTCATTATCCATAATTAAAAGTCGGATTATATCTAGTTAAAACAGAATCTCAAGGCAATTTTAGACCCATTCCTGCCGCTACCCTTGTGCATTCTCACATCTGAAAATTTTTGGTCCAGATATTTTCTTAGAGGATGATGGTTAAAGGGAGTGTATTTATTATTAGTATTATTACTATTATTATTATTATTATATTTTCACCGCCAGGCCCTGATGTGGGTCATTATCCTGTGCTCTGTTGGGATAATACCGTAAAAAAAAAAAAAAAAACGTGTATCTCTCATAGACCAAAAATATATAATATATTAACACACATCCACATACATACTATACCTTTGACTTATGTGAACAACTCGACTCACGACTGCAGCACTATCCATTATACAATGAACTGTCACTAAGATTGGTCCACCGCCAACCATGTCGCCATCAACTAAATTACTATACCAAGACCATGATTATACATTTAAACTTCTCCCGCCATGTTCTACCTCCCTCCTTCACTCAGAGCCCCAAAACCCTCCTGAATATGGATCCAACTAAGCTCATCGAAGTCACTATAAATAGCAAACCGAGCTGGAAAGTCCACGTCAGTTTAACCGTCTAATGTTCCAGTTATCACGTTCAGATAGTCCGTCGCCTCAAACCCCTTGAACATCCTGCGTTTGAACTCACGAATAATTTACATTAAGTTCATGTTTCCTAAATTCTTTTATGCTTCCCCTGCCTGGTCTTCTCCCTTAACTGCTATACAACAAGGACTCCTAAAGAGTGCACAAGGGTAATAGCTCCCTCTTTTTTTACCACAAATCAGACTCTAACCAGAATGAGCCTCTCAACTCTTTAATCATCATTGTAACATCATCTGTCTGTTTGGGACAAGCAGCTATACCATCCTCATCATCACCTGTAACTACCGCGAATTGTTGTTCGATGTCACAACCCCATCTAGTCCATACGACCTCTTGCTGATCAATACTAGAACAGCCCCCATTCCAATCGTTGTAAGATTCATGAACAAATCGTAGATAACTTGTGTGTTCACTCCTTGCCAATCTCCCTTTTGTACTCTAAATAAGCTGAAATTCCTTGTTAAGTGATCCTCTCCATAAATCATTCTTTTGTTTATTTTCAGCTTATGGTTGCTTTATCTTTCAAGAAGACATTAATAATTATCAACCTCACTATATTAGTAATATGCGTAGATCTCATTACTCAAGAACAAGCATACACACACACACAAACACACACCGACCTGTGAAGAATTGTTCCTATTTTATAGCTAATAATTTTGTATATATTAAACTGGATTAATTATATTACCTCCTTCCGAATTCATCAACTAACTATTCTGTGTTAATCATTCTTTGTAACGGAGAACGCAAGTGTGTACAGAGTATGTGTGTTTGTGTGAGCATTACGAATTTTCTAGCAGTAAGGGAGTATAAGTGTGTGTGTGTGGGCAGCAGCGTACAACGGTATAAGTGTGGTGTACTGAAATGGTGGGGCAGACAGTTACCAGGTCTGGGTCAGTATGGCAGGCGGGAGCAAGAGCAAGCTGGCGCAGAGCTGCGGAGCGCGGACGCGGACCACCCTGGTGGCTGGCAGCCTGGCAGTGGCACCCTCTTCCCGCAGTAGCCCGTCAGACAGCTTTGGGGAAGCGCGTGTCGCCTGTCTGTCTCGCATAGCGAGAACGCAAGCCCTGTGGCACCAGTTTATTACATTAACTATTGACTCATATGATAAGTGGCACTGTGGGCATGATTCAGGCATTGCAACAGTGCCTGTCACGCTTACATGACAGTCAACCCTTTACACTCCGGAGAGTAAGAACACCTGTTGCACGGGTCAGCCAGTGCGACCGCTAGTGACGACCTACGTGATAGCTGTGCAACAAACACTGTGCTGTGAAAACTGGCATCTTATATAATTTCGTCATTTGATCATGTGACATTGTAGTCTAAGGTATGTGCTTTTGACTATCATGACGATGAACACTTCGTCAGCGACAGGCGTGAGTGTCGTGCTGGAATCAGCCTGGAGCAGCTCGGTGGTCACCACAGATATCAATGACACGTGGCCCGTCTCTTCGTCCCCTCTTGACCTGGACAACATCACGCTGGACGACATTGCTACCACTCCCTGGGACAACACTACCTCTCAAGTCTACAACATCCTCAACTACCCCACCACGCAGGCTATATTCTACATAGAATACCTGACCATATTCCTACTAGGGGTATTTGGGAACTGCTTGGTGTGCTACGTAGTATTCCGCAATAAGTCCATGCAGAATGTGACCAACTACTTCATCACAAACTTGGCACTGGCAGACATCTTGCTATGCGTACTGGCAGTGCCCTTCACTCCTCTTTACACCTTCATGCGGCAATGGATGTTCGGCCGGGTGTTGTGTCACCTTGTCACCATGGCTCAAGGCACCAGCGTCTACGTGTCCACACTTACACTGATGTCCATCGCTATTGACAGATTCTTTGTGATAATCTACCCGTTTCGACCACGCCTGCGCTTGTCAATCTGCTACTTGATCATCGTCAGCATCTGGCTTTTTTCCATCTCGGCGACGCTTCCGTATGCGCTGTATGTCCGGCAAGTGGAGTATCAGGACCGATATTACTGCGAGGAGCTCTGGCCTTCAGAATCCATCAGGCAGGTGTTTAGCGGTTTTACAGCCATTATGCAATTCGTCGTTCCGTTCATCATCATTCTCTTTTGCTACGTCAAAATTTCTATCCGCATGAACGAGCGAGTCAGGGCCAAGCCGGGCACTAAGAACACCAGGAAGGAAGAAACGGACCGAGAACGAAAGCGCCGGACAAACCGGATGTTGATAGCGATGGTGACGATCTTCGGTACTTCCTGGCTGCCCGTCAACGTGGTGCACCTCGTCGGAGACTACTATGCGCCGGCGAGTGAATGGAGCTACTACAACCTGTGCTTCTTCATCACTCATGTGGTGGCCATGTCTTCCACCTGCTACAACCCCTTTCTTTATGCCTGGCTCAACGAAAATTTCCGTAAGGAATTTCAACTGGTTTTACCTTGCTTCCAGCAGACTCCCTCCACTGACCGTGTAGGTCAGTGGCGTTCAGAGAGGACCTGCAACGGGAACGACACCCAACAAGAGACCCTCCTACAGGCAGGACAATGCGGAGGCACTGGTGGAGATTCAATAAGGTCTTTCAACCACCAGCTGTCAGTCACACAAGAGAGCCCGACTAACATGGCGTCCCCAGCCACTGTCGAGACCCATCCCATGACCACCTTCATAGAGGCTCCGTCACACACCAGCGGCAGCACACCTGACCAGGCCGTCCAGTCCCTGGTCAATGGAGAAGCATCCGAGTACGTGTGAACACAGGTAAGATCACCCACCAACTCTTTCTTACTCTGCATATATGTGTGGTGAATCATTAGTCTTGTACAGTATATGCGTTCCCCTCTGAGGCATTAGAGCATTGTATAATTACTCGAACTCCATAATGTACACCCAGTAGTGCAAATGTAGTCTTCTACAATGTAACTCGGATTCAATAGTAATTACTGCCACACTATAACCCGATTAATAACACAATAACCCCTCCGACAGTTCAAATCCACGAGTGCAGTGTAACCTACAGGATATAGTGACTTCCTTGAGTATAACAGCTAATCTTCAGCATCCAAAACTACGAAATCGCGGCAAAGTTCCGAGAAAAAATATAAGTATTTTTACTCTGGATTAGGACTGTGTGAATTCCTTCCTCTGGGTGTTTTTCTTATCTCACATAACCTCTATAAATTTAAATAATTCTGCTTCAAGTATTTTCGGTTTTTGTAAGGGGATGACGTCTCGGAGAAAATATCCAACAACGACGCTTTTTATTTGTTAAAAGAAAATAAATATGGAATCTCAGTCAACCACTGCAAGAAAGAATCTTTGAATGTAATTTGTTTATAAAAGTTTTCAGTGAGGAGATATTTTTTTTTTATAAAGGGTAAATTGTCCTTTTTATATTATATAGTACTTGATACGAATCTCCTTATGGGTATCAGTAAGCGGTGAGTACTATTTATATAAAGCGTGTAGAGTTGTAGGTCACTCCCCACCACCACCAACACTACTACTAGTACTACTACTACTTTTTTTTTTTAAACGTGACCTCCAGCCTCCCCCAATAGCCACACCTTCGCCACCATTTATTTACCTTAATATTAAATATCCTAATACATAAGAAGCTATCCTATCTGTGTTAAATTAGTTGAGCCGCAGATCTATGCGGCATTCAGTGACTGTAGCCTCGTAGTCGATATCTGCAGCAGTTGTCGGAATTGGGGCAGAAGCTCTCGTTCCTCTGAGGCAGAGCAAAGCCGACCGAAGGAGAGAGAAGGACAGTCGACATCTCATCCAGGCTGTAACGAAACTTCTGGGCTGCTGCTTCTGTTCGGAGATCACCTCCGCGAGTCTGGCGTAGAAACATCTTGCACTTGGTCCCATCGCACCAGAGGTTGTGAACACTAGGGGAGTGAAGCTGCCTTGGTCAACGTTTTGGATTCTCTCCCCATATGCCCTTATCTTGTCGTTCTCGTTCCTCCTATGTGCAGCATCGAGAGCTAGGTTACGGTGACATGCGGCCATGGGATCAAAAATCCTGATGTCGAAGAAAGCTCGCTGTCCTCGCGTCCAGAATCCTCGAGCACTGACGTCAACACGGGATTCGTTAGATGTGTTTGAAGTCCTATGTTGGAGGATCTCACCATCCAATGGAAGGAGGGTCGGTTCTACCATGACATCCCGGCAGATTTCTTTCAACATATTTGCTGTAAGGTCCCTTACTTCATCATGCCTCATGCATATGAAGCCCCCTTTCTTGCACACCATGGCGTGATCGCCGTCATAGGAAGAGCCACACATGCATTGGGAGGGCAAACCTTCTACTGGCCGACCGTACCTTAGAGCAATGGCATCTGTAAATTCTTGTTTGTTAAGACTGAAACCATTTGCCCTTATCGGTAACGTAGTTAACCAGTTCGAGGCGCCCACCTCCTTCGCTACTACTACTACTACTATAATAATAATAATAATAATAATAATAATAATAATAATAATAATAATAATAATAATAATAATAATAATAATAATAATAATAATAATAATAATAATAATAATAATAATAATAATAATAATAATAGTATTAATAATATTAATAATATTAATAATAATAATGATAATAATAATAATAATATTAATAATAATAATAATAATAATAATAATAATAATAATAATAATAATAATAATAATAATAATAATAATAATAATAATAATAATAATAATAATAATAATAATAATAATAATAATAATAATAATGTAAACGTGGCTTCCAGCCTCCCCCAATAGCCACACCTTCACCGCCATTTTGTTACCTTAAAATTAAATAACCTAATACATAAGTAACTACCCTGGCTGTGTTGAGTTGGTTAAGCAGCAGATCTATGTGGCATTCAGTGACTGTTGCCTCATAGTCAATATCTGCGATTTGTTTGCTTTGGGGCCGAAGATCTTGTTCCACTGAGGCAAAGCAATGCAGACCTAAGCAGAGAGAAAACAGTGGATATCTCAACCAAGCTGCAACGTGGTTTCTGGGCTGCTGCTTCTGCTCACATATCACCTCGACCAATCTTGCATAGAAGCGTCTTGCACTTGGTTCCATCCCACCAGAGGTTGTGAAAACCAGAGGAGTGAAGCTGTCGTGATTCACATTCTGAATTCTCTCCGTCATATGCCCTAATCTTGTCGTTCACATTCCTCTTGTGTGTAGCCTTAAGAGACAAGTTACGGTGACATACGGCCAAGGGGTCGAATACCCTGACACCAAAGAAGGCCCATCTGTCCCCGCTTCCAGAAGGCTCGAGCGCTGACGTTAGGGCTTCGTTAGATGTGTTGGAAGTCCTGTGTTGGAGGCTCTTACCGCCCAATGGAAGGAGGCTCAGTTCCACCGCGACGTCATGACAGATTTCCTTCAGTGAATCTGCTGTGAGTTCCCTTACTTCGTCATGCCTCATGCATACGAAGCCCCCTTTGTTACACACGTGGTCAATGTCATAGGATGAGCCACACACGCATTGGGAGGGCAAACCTTCTTCTGGTGTACCGTACCTTAGCATTGGCGTCTGTGAATTCTTGTTTATTAAGGCTGAAACATTTTGCCCTTGTCGGTAACGTTGTTAGCCAGTTCGAGGCGCCCACCTCCTGCGCTCTAGCTACTTTTTTTCAAGTTCTGTGGCAATTGCAGCATCAGTTGCCTCAGTTCATCACTCTGGATGTGCTGTCGATATGTCGTAATGGACCGTCGAATCTTGTATAATTCGTTGGTATCCACCTCACTTGTTACATTTTGAGCTATTATGTGCTCAGTAAGGCCTGCCGTGAGCTTGACTAAGTTCTGATGTTCGGTGGCAGTAAGCTCCACTAGATTGTTCATTCCAATTCCTCCTAGTCTTGGTGGTAGTGCAATGACTGATCTTTCTGCCTGGGTTAAGTTAAAATGTTTCACTAATTTTGGAATAAAAATGACGGTGATGCCTTCTTCCAGGGGCGGAGGAGGGGTCCGATATCAGGGATAGTGCGCATTGGATAATTCCAGCGATGCTTGACTCCATGGGTGAATACCGCAAACGCCCCATATAGCTCCGTTTAGCAATATCAGACAGAGCTTTGATTTCCTTCACCCAGTCATTTACCTTTCCCGTTACGTATTAGGTCTTGAAATTACTACTACTACTACTACTACTACTACTACTACTACTCTCTGCTACTACTAACCACCACTATTACTACTATCACCATTACCACCGCTACTACTACTACCACACCTCCAACACCAACACCTCCAACACCACCTCTAACACCATCAACACCATCAACACTAACACTTCCATCACCAACACTTCCAATACCACCATCTCCAACACCATCACATCCAACACCACATCTTCAACACCACCACCACCACCTCCAACACCACCACCTCTTCCAACACTTTCACCTCCAACACTAACACCTCCAACCCAATACCATCTCCACCACCACCGCCTCTTAACACCACCACCACCATCACCACCACCCTTTCTCGGTCTCTAAATAAAAGTTTACATCAACTAATAGTCAAAGTAGCCAATATAAGACCTCACATCACTGATTGGTGTACATCTTGGCACGCGTCAGATAAACCTTGAAAAAAAACGAAAATTCATCTCTTTCTCTCAAATTAAATAAGGAGTTGAACTGGGAGTTCTATCTCTCATAATTTTTAATGTTTTTGGACTTATGTATTGCTGTACTAACCTTGCCGTGCGCTTAAAGCCCTTCATTGTTGACGCATAGTAGTAACATTATAAAACAATAGGGAATGGTTAAGTTAGGTTGAATATATTCAACCTAACTTAACCATTCCCTATCTCAACGTAACCTAACCTATAGGTTAGGTTACGTTGAGATAGGCCAGGTTACGTAATTTACGTTGGTGTAGGTTATATAAAGGAAAAGTTTGCAAGAACAATATGAAAAAAAAAATGATCTGGGACGGTGGTGCATTAAAATTTTCACAGTAAATGTGAATACTGTAATGGGGAGGTAAAACATACACGGTTGACCTGACAATATAGCCACAGAATGATGTTTTCCGCGGTGCTACATTGGTGGTCGGGCGGCCATATGCATTTTCCTCTCTCCATTTTGTATAAAATAAAAGACCCCTGAATACATGACAGATTGTGGCAGGTACAGTCGGGGACAAAAGTTCACTCCCCGTGGTGAAACTGAATTATGGGAGCGAGTCTCCGGACTGACTTACCCTGACTGTTTCATCTCAATTGGGGTCGACGATGCTTCAATTTGGGCGAGAGTGAACTTTTGCCCCGCCTGTACATATTAATTTATATTTCCATATCAATAAAATTTGTATACTGCATATTGTTCATTACTGAAGACCGATGACAGTGAGAATAAACAAATAAAAGAAATGACACAGTAAATAAGGATAATTTCGAAATACCGATAACTTAACCTAACCTAACCTAACCTAAGCTAACTTAACTTAACATAATCTAACCTATCCTAACCTTTCTTAGGTATAATATAGCTATCTTATGCTGGTAAACGACGTCTTAAATGAAACAGCATATTTTACCAAATTCGAACAAATGTCCTTAAAATTGTTGCAATAAAACAAAAAGTATTCACTATTAGGCCAAAATATATTTGCATTTCAAAGCTTAATCACCAGTTATCCCTATTTAACATCACCTTGCTTAACAAAGACGAATGAACAGGCTTTGTATCAAATAAAGCGAAGCCCAAGATTGCAGATGTCCAGG